GGCGAGCACTCGAAGGCAGCAGCAGTTTCACGTGAGCATGTGGTGGCCCTGGAGCCTGAACATTCCTGGCTGTCACCAGGGGAGCCCAAGTCCACGAATGATGACAAAACGCAAACTCAGAGTGGGGCGCTCAGCAATGAAACAGATCTGCCCCCACCTGCCACCTCCTGTGCAGGGCTCGGAAGGAAGGGAGGGTGGCACAGCATGCTCTGGTGGCCAGAGCAGCGCATTCCTCAGCCGCTCAAGCCACAGCCTGTGCTCCTGGGCGGCCACACCGTCCACACGCCACTCCTGCCACCTCCGCTCTCCAACCCACACGGCAAGAAAATGGATACCACTCCGGAGTCTTGGATACAGGTGGAAGCTTTAGGCTGTCTCTCCTCAGGGCGCCAACCCTTCCACAGGAATTAATGAGCACCTGCTGTATACCAGACAATTGATGGGCAGTTTATTAGTCAAGAGCCCAGTGACTGCTGGTGTGGTGTCCCTGGCCTTTGTTTAGTCTACAGAGTAAACCTCAAATCTCAGTGGCTTTAAAAACTCTCTAAGCTTTCCTGAAGAGGGAGCCCAAAGCAAAGAAGGAGGTGCTGCCTCCCAGGAACACACCAGTGCCAGGGCCCTGAAGGCCACGAAGGCCTTGCAAGAGGCGTCCACAGGCACAAACAGCGGCTCTGCATGTCACCGTCCTCAAGACACTGAGCTTCTGAGGCACCCCATGGCCCACCCAGAGTGGCCCAGGAGAGGCAAGCATGGCCACTGTCAGATTGGGCCTGATGGCCTTGCATGAGCACACAACCACCTGGCCCCAATGCTGAGGTGCTCACCTGAGCATAGTCAGCGGGTCCAAAGCAGCGGCTCTCAGTCAAGGGCAGGTCTGCACCAGGGGACAGCTGGAAATGTCTGGGGACAGCTTTGCCTATTACAACTGGGGGGTGACGGGGCAGGAGGCTGGGGTGCTATTCTGCACCCTGGGCCTCCCACAGCAAAGACACCCCAGCCTGAAATGGCAGTGAGGCTGAGCTGGAAAATTCCAGTCTAAACTCTCTTCTATCAGGAAGAGAGGAGGAAGGGCAGAAAGGAGAGGAAGGAAACAGGGAAAGGAAGCCCTCCAACGCTTTGAGCTGACTGAGGGCTCACTCCTTCTGTGAACACGAGTAAACCCTGCTCTGTGGCCCTTCCCAAGCCCCTGACAAAAAACACATGGCCCTGCTGTCACCAGTGCGCACCAGTGAGCACAAGTGATTGCTGTCTTTATCTCAGTGACAGGACCCAGGCCCTCTCCTCTTGGCACAAGCCTCTCCCCCAGAACAGGTACTCAATATTCTGATTCTCTGGAAATCCGGGGAAAACTGGCGGCTATGAAAATGCAACACTGAAATATGAAAACAAAAACCAATGTATAACGATGGCTTCCAGGATTAGTGAGAACTGGGTGGGTGCCCTCAGGGAAGCTTCTGGCTGACTCACTTTCACCACTTCTGCTGGGGAGCCCCAGTTAATGGGCAGGGGAAAGGCCTGCATGCGCTGGAAGCATCCTAGAGCCACAGAGGCGCGTGCGTGATCTCTGGCGCGATGCTTCCTCTCAAGTTGGCAGGACCCGGCAGCCCAGCCCACTCAGAATCAGTGTGAGGCTTTCACCGTAGGAACATTAACTGGAATAATGGAAAGTAGTATCCAACAACCTGAGGCCTGGGAGGGCGGCATTCATTCTTACACACGTGCACACACCCACACGTATGTATACACACACACACACAGAGGCTGGCAGTCTCTTCCCTTCTTCACCATCTTGTCCAGGTGAGACCAGACTGTCCTCTCACTGGGGAGTTCACCTGTGTTCCCCTGTGGAAGGAATGAAGGGGATGAAGGTGCCTGGCACGTGCTGGCACTCACCAGCCTGCTCTGCAATGGCCGATGCCATCCTGCCATCCTTCTGAAAACTACGGCACCCACCTCTTTCATGCTCATTTCCCTGCAGCAAATGCCACCCCACAGCAACACACAGGCCACACTGGGGGCACTCAGGACAAGCAGGCACCGTGGCAGCCTCATCAGCGCCCGAGGAGGCTCAGGATGGATGGGCTGCCTGGGAGGTGCAGAGCTCCTCTTCATGGGGACATGTAAAGCAGGCGACCTAGCGGGTGTTAGCAATGCCGGGAAGAACCTCCTCCACCAGGAAGGCTGCCAAGTTCCAGATCTTTCTCCTCACCCTAAGTTCAGGCTGACAGTCACCTGAAGCTGCTGTAGAAGCTGCTCCCATAAACACCCCCGGCTCTTGCCCCCGCTGTTGCACAGCAACCCGTTTCTGTGTCTCAGGGAGATGCTGCGCTGTGGGGAAGCAGGCAAGGCCCAGCGCCCTTCCTGCCCCGCACTTCCCAGTCAGCGGAGAAAGGCCTCAGCAGCAGCATGAGGGAATGTGTGGAGAGAAAATTCCAAACCCCCAGAGAGGCCGTGAGGTTCCTCACACGGGGAACAATTCAGTGTGCGACTGCACGTGTGCACATGCGCATTGTTGTGTCCCTGAACCACATATCCTCAAGGTTCTGGACTTTGCGTCAGACCCCGCCCTGGCATGGCTGCAGGGGCCTCCTAGTGGACCCGGGCTCTGCGGGCCCAGCTCACACACCTGAGTGTCTCCAGGGCCTGCCTCCTCCCCCGCTCCACAAAGGAGCTCAGTAACATTCTGTGACGAGCACAAGCAGGTGTGCGTGGTGGTGACAGTGTTCCACCTCAAATCACCCGGCATGAACCCCAGTGTGGCCAGGAGGCACAGGAGTACCTGGACCACACTGAGGTCACTGAGGGAGGACGACTCCTTGGGGCCTAGGGACCACTCCAGGTGGGTGACAACCCACTGTAGCCAGGACAAGTGTCAGTGAGACTGGTCAGCTTCATAGACTCTTTCTTTGAAAGGTTTCAAAAACTGTCACCAAGCTAAACAGGCTGTGGGCAGTGGTACTTGCTCTGGCCTTAACTGACGTGCCAGGAACAGCTCCACAAGAGGCAGGTGCACGTGAAACAGGCTCCCTTTTCCCGCGACGCAAAGTCTGGCCCTCACAGTCCTACACCAGCAATCACTGTGCGAGCAGAGCTGGCTCTCCAAGGGCTCTACCTCGCCCAGGTGACACAGAGCAGGACTTGGGGACAGGCAAGGCTGGCCCAGGCTACCCAGCAGCAGCCCTGGCCACTCTCTGCAGCCACAAGGGGGCCCCGTCCCACACGCTCTTCACTATCCACTGGGTATAGGCGACACTGCACAGAAGAACAGCCAAAATTCTGTATCGTCCACCAAAGAGCCTCTGTCCCCGTGCAGAATGCCGGCTTCATTCGCCCACACCACACCTTCCCTTCTGCGGGTTCTCATGACCCCACGGGAAGGCTTTCAGAATGAGGAGTGGGAGGGACCACCTCTCTCCCACTGGATCACTGGCCCTTCCAGGGACCACTGGGTTGTGACAAGACAGGTCAGGATGGAAACCAAACCCCATAAGCAGCAGTCTACGGGGTGGAGGAGGGGGCCCTGGGAACAGGCAGCCTGGGCTGCTTGTCTGAGCAGACTTTAAGAATAATAATAAAAGCAACTACAAGTTGGTCTGCTTCTCACTGTCACCAAGTGCCAGAAAATCTAAACAGCGTCGATGACAAAATACTCCTGCCTGCCAACACCGAGCCCACTGTGCACCCCAACCCATCCTGGGTAGGCACTGCCTGCGTGCACACAGAACAAGCCGCTGACCACTGGTAACAGCAGCACCTGCTGAGGGGTCCTCACAAGTCACTTCATTAACCCTGCTGGGAACCTATCATTCTCCCCATTCTCCAGACCAGGAAACTGAGGCCACAAAAGGGGACGTGATTTGCCTCAAGTAACAGAGAAGGTCACTGCTGCAGAACACCAGCCACAGCATCCCGAGCTGTGCGATACCCCGAGCTGTGCGATACCCCGAGCTGTGCGATACCCCGAGCTGTGCGATACCCCGAGCTGTGCGACACGGGGTCCCGGTCAGGCCCCATGGAGTCTGGCATGTGAGGCCCACCGCTCCACCACGCTGGCACAAAGGGCAAGCGACTGCACGAGGAGCAGAACTGGAGGAAAGGAACAGCCACGATGCACACAAGTCAGGGAGGCCCCTTTCCAGCATCTGCTAAGCGCCCTTCCTACTCTAGGCAACACAAGCCTTTCTTGTGTAAAGCAAGCGTTTTTGCAGGAAACTAAGAAAAAGTCAAACATGATCTGAAATAAATTAAAGAATCTTTCAGGATTTGACAAAATTATTTTTTATGGCGCACCTATTAAGACAGTCAACCTCTTTCCACCAATTGAATAATAACCAGACACAAAGATGCAGGCCCACGCCTCGGGGCACTAGAGCCCTGGGACAGGCACCCAAAGCTGCCCCTGGCACTTCTCAGATGGCCAATGGCCAACTGGCCCAGGCTGGGCCGCCCCAAGAAGGTCTCCGACCGCCCAGGCACCCTCAGCCCCGCTGCTCGCCAGGCGTACCCTGGTCACCTCTGAGACCCTGCACCCTGCCTAGGCCACAAGGGTTTTGGGGACAGCTTCCTTCCCTGTCTTTTCACTTGATTGCCCTGAACATAAACACCAGGTCCCAGGTGCTGAGGGACTTGCTGTGATGAGTCTGTAACCCCGTATGTAACAAGGCGAGCCCGGTTCTCTGCAGCTAACGAGATGCCGGACAAAGAGCTGGGCAATGGTCTGATATGACAAAAGGACGGATCTGGCCTAAAATCCTGCAAGAACATATCAGGAGCCACTGAAGGACGCCGGCAGGCATCCTGCAGTATAAATAGTACGATTTCCAAGACAGCCGATCTTAAAACTGTGAATTTAAGAGGAAGCTGTCGACACAGGCTCCCACTACCCCCGCAGAGCAAGGCCCCCAAAGGCACCCCCACACAACTCCCGCTCATCTTCCCCTGACCAGCCCTCTCAGCACTCAGACCCACGGCTTTTCCGGAGCCTTCCACCCCTTCCTCACCTGCCGTCGTGGTGTCCACATCCTTGGCTGCCAGCGCTTCCACGTCTGATCTCTTTCTCAGCTCAAACCTCCGGGATAAGCCTTCTCGGGGCTTCCAAAATGCTCGGATCAAGAGAGGCTTCTCATTATCCCCAAACACTCGAAAGCACTGGGCCTGCCACTGCTGCCCAGCATCCCCAGCCTTGCCCACAACGTCGCACAGCACATACTGGCCAGCGTGCGCAGGGTCCAGGGCATACCGCTCCAGAGCCTCCTTCACCAGCTCCTGGGCACTGGATGTGTCGGTTGCCAGGACACTCTTGTAGTGGGTACCTGTGCAGACACTGTCCCCAAACACCTTCAGGACCCCAGGGGCAGAGAGCTGGGTGGAGAGCTCGGAGGGGTCATCGCTGGCACCCCGGCTGGAGAAGGTGGGGTCCGCGTCCCGGTGCTTGTAGCTCAGGGTCCGGGACAGTACGCTGGACAACAGCTGGCCCTGCCGCTTCAGCTTGCCCTTGGCAGGTGGAGACATGATGAGGTTAGTTCCATAAAACATGGTGGGCAGGTCTTCAAGGACAAGGACTGAGGCTGCAGTCAAAGGGTGGGGAAAGGCCATGCCCTGGGAGGGAAAAGGAAGAGGTTAGCACCAGCCACCATGAGCATGAAGGGCCAGTGAGACTCGAGAGAGCCCCAGTGGATGTAACAGGTCCCTCGGCGTCCCGGCCTGCAGACTTGCCACCCGAGGCCCAGTCCCAGCAGAGCCCCTGAGAAGAGGATGTGACTGGAGCCTGCAGGGGCTGAGAGCAACAAGCAGGTCAAATGGGCTGAGGTGCCCTTCAAGGAAAGTCATTGCTAGGAAGCACGATGAGGTCACCAAAGGTAAGACACGCTCTGCTGCAGGGTTCGGATTTCTGCGAAGTTAGAGTGACTGACGCTGAGTGCAGTCTGCACCGCAGGACAGACCTCGCAGGGCTGGCTCCATGCCACCTGGGAGCCACCACCCAGCACCATCACAGCCACGGAAGAGAGGCAGACAACTCTCTGTAAACTCCATCTCCTGTGCCAGTCTGTAATGTGGAAAATCAATCACAACAGTGGAACTAGAAAAACAGGCAAAAAAATTGCAGCCACACTAACAAAGGAATACACAATCAGACGTTCAAACACAGACCCCAAGGAAGCTCCTCCTCCACGACGAGGCAAGAGAGACCAGCCAGGCCTGAAGGAGACACTTCCCTGGGAGGGTGGCGTTAGAATGTCCCCACAACAACCACAGTGGACACAAAGGGCTCGTCTAGAAGGGCGGAAGCATGAGTGGAATGTGTGTGTCCACCCACCACCTCCAGCCAGGCCAGCAAGATGCGATCTTGTGCAGAAATTAGAACACAGCCCTGGGAGGCTCTGCTGTGTCATAAAATCCTAATTCTAACGTCCTTAGTGCTCCAAGGGACTTAGAGTTCTAGACAGTTTGTCAGTCTCCTCTCAAATCTCTGTGGGAGCAGGAGGCAGAGGAGGAGGAGGGCAGGTCTCTGCTTCATAAAACCTGAGGCTTTGCCTCCAAAACCACACACACCTGCTGCCCACCACAGCCCACTTCTGTGCTCATGTTCCCGCCAAAGACAAAGGCAGACAGACAAATGACCCAGGAGAAAAGTCTATTTTCTAGAAGGTCCCAGTGAAAGCAGTACTGGTCACCTGCCACTGTGACTCGGGTCAGTATGAAACTCAGTGACGTCAACTAATATTCTCCAGCTGAACTGATGCACAGCCCTGCGGGCATAGAAAAGGCTTTTGGGAAGGAAGGTCGCTGCTTAGGGCAGGAGTAACTAACTAGGGAGCCCCTCAAAAGAAAAGGAGCCACACTGGCCTGTAAGGAACCAAACGATGACACCGTCCAGGCCTGCAAAGCTGACACTGCGAGTCGCGCTCCTGCCAGCTGTCACCCAGGCGTCAGTCGCATGCTCTGGTGCTTCTCGCTCCCCTTAAGGATGAAGGCAGGAAGCAGACTGCGTTTCAACCCCTTGGGAATCAGCCCAGTTGGAGCCAGCAGCCGCACTTCCCAGAGGACCAAGAACTCTTCAGAAATGCTTTGATAGCTTTGCACGCCAAAGTCTGGTTCCAAATGCTGATGTCTTCCCTATGGGGTGGACAGTTGACACTTGTCCTGTTCCTATAACCTGCTGCCTACAGTTCACCACTGCAGAGTCTTTCATTATGCATCGGCTTCCTGAACACCTGAACTTGCCCTAACACGGTCAGGTGTCTCAGAGACCCCAGGCACTGGTCGAAGCAGAGCAAGCATCAGGTTCTCCTTGGCCTCAGGGAGCCAAGCTATGAAGTAGTAGTAAGTCCAGGGCTTTGCTTCTCCTCCCCTGAGGAACGTGTGACCAGTCTCCTTATCAAATCCTAAGCAACCCAGCACTGGCCCCAGCTTCCTCTCATGAACCCATCAAAGGCCTCGATTTAATTGACAACCAAAGCACTTTCAGACAGTGCTCACATCACAGACAAGTGGCCCTGCCTGTGCACACCACACCAGCAGCTTCAAATCACTGCCGATTCTGACCTGAGCCTTCTGTGGTCAGTTTTCAAAATGAGTCCTTAGAATCGGAGAACAAAACCCTTCAAACGGCCTCTCGAGTCAGCACTTACTAACCATCCCTGAAAGTTATGCAACCCTGCTCTCAAAATTTCCCACGTGTCTCTGGAGACACCCATTGCTTAGACACCATGAGCGGCACGCATTCTCAGGGGGCCTGACCCTGCACGGTCACTCGGTGCAGCTGCCGCCCTCTGTGAGCACAGTGGTCATCTCTGAAGCAAGGCTCCCCAGGGTCCCAAGCCAAACTCCAAGTGGAGTTTGACAGGACAACAGGCAGCTTGTAGCTCAGGAAGCCTCTCCGGAGATGACGTCCAAATGTAAATGTAATTATGACACCAAAAACTGTGGAAACCACCTCTGAACAGGAGAAAGCCAAGTTGCGGAAAAGTCATGAAGCAAACACAAGAGTTTAAAAGGCCTCAAGATACAATGGACAAGTGAACTGGTATCTTGTGCCTGGGGGTAAATGCAGATGTTGTAAGATCTGACGTTTATACAATTCTGCTTTAATAAAAAAGAAATAGAAAACTATAAATATTCGACTGCCAGGTCCCCTCCCAGGGCCTTGGAAGCCTGAACTTCAGGAGTGTCCCACCCTCCTTTCCAGAAGTCTCCTGTGCCGGATTCCAAGGCAGAGCTAGCAATATCATGGAAAGAAGCGGAAATGTAAGTAGAGACAATGGAATCCATTTCTTTCCAGTAACTCCTTCCTAAGCCCCAAGAAATCCCTGTTCACACAAAACTTATCTGTTTTGGGGATTTCAGAAAGTTTTTTTCTCCTTATGGTCATTATCCCTGTGGCCAGGTCAGAGGGTGCCCACTTGTTGTAATCACAGAATGCAGCCTGTTTGTCCACATGGGATTTGTTTTTTAAAAGTCCCAGTGCAGGGAAATCCTATGGAGCGGAACACGCCCTGAGTAACCAGATCTGTTTTTTTTGGAAGTGTGACCTGCCTTTTCCTTTTCTGCTCAATTCTGTCCTCTGTCCCACAAACACTTGGGAAAAGCGCAGGGCCCAGGGAGCAGGGTGCAGGACACTGCTCTTAGAGAATGTTTTCTCTTGTTCTCAAGGAAGAGTCCGATTTCTGATGGAAAACAAGCTCGAGTCACAGCCGTGGTGCAGGGAGTGAGGTCAGTGCCGGGCTGACGACATGGGTGGAGGGACCTCTCGGGTCCAGCAAGCCAACGTGGAACCCATTACCGTTCCCACCAGGAGGGAAAACGAAGAGCACTTTGCACGCTCTGCTTTATCCCCCTCCACAAATCCTATCTCCAAAGCTCCAGCTAGCGCCGCGCTTCTAAACGCAAACAATTCAATCAGATTTACTTCTGAGGCGCTCGCCTCTAGAGAGGGGACTGACTCCTGCCCCCCCCCCACACACAGTGGGACTAGAGCCTGGCTCCCCTCTGGAATGCACAAGAGGTGGCCCAGGCTAACCCGAGACGCCGGCAAACACATTCTTCGAGGCAATTCAGATTAACCAAACACTTGACAGGCGACAGGGGCCCAGCCGGCAGGTCTGCAGCCCCCCCACCGCCCCACGGACCGACTGGGCTCTGGTTTCTTAGAAGCAGTTCGTGTCGAGGGCTGGAAGTGGTACAGAAATGGCTGGGAAACAACGCTCTCAGCTGGCACACGCGTGAGGTCTAGAGAGGAAACCCAGGACAGGTCGTGGGCGGGGAGAGAGCGCGCGGACCCCTGCGCTCTGCCGCCCCGCGACGCCCCAAGCCAGGCGCTCCCGGCTGAGGAAACTGAGGGCCGGGGGCCCCCTGGAGGTGGGGTCCGGAACCCGGGGCCAGGCCAGGCGGCGGGGTGCCACGGCCGAGCCGAGCCCCGGGACCCCGCAGGCCGGCCGCCCTCGCCCGCGGTTTCCATGGCAACCGAACAAGCCTGCCCTCCGCACCCCGGTCCGCGGCCGGGAAGGTGCCCGTGTGCACCCTGCTGCCCCCGCAGCCGCCGGGCCGCACTGCCCGAGCGGTCCCCGCCTCCGCGGCCCTCCTCGCGCACCCCACACTCACCGCCCGCAGCCGCCGCCACGTTCCCGCGCGGCTCCGCCGGCGTCAGCCGGAGCCGGCACCCGCGCGCGCCGCGGCGCCTCCTGCAGGCCGCCCAACGGACGGGGCGGGACCGCGTGGGAGAGGCGGGGCGAGAAGAGGCGGGCCGTAAGCGAGCACCTGGACGCCCAATAGGCAGAAACAAAGCTCTAGGGGGCGTGGCCTGTGGGGGAGAGGCGGGGCCAACCGGCGAGGGAAGGTGGGCTGTGGGCTGGCACCTCCTGCCGGCCTCCCAATGGACCGGGAAGAGGCCTCGGGGGGCGGGGCCTCCAGGGGCGGGGCCTCCAGGGGCTCTGGAGAGGGGCGGGGCTCTGGAGAGGGGCGGGGCTCTGGAGAGGGGCGGGGCTAGATGCGGAGACGCGAGCTCGCAGCTTAGGTCGCCGCCCGCCCGCAGCTCGAGGGGCGGGCGCTAGACTGGACGGCCGGGCCAGTGCTCAGGCCCTGCGCCGCTCGTGGGCTCTGCTCTGGTGTCCGCAGGGCTGTTTCGGTCCCCACCTTCTAGTAGCCCAGTGAGTGGGCAGGGCGGGGGGCAGAGCTGTGACCCCCTCTTAATGAACAGCTAAGACATTGAAAAGGAACAAGGGTGGCGAGTTCCCTCTCCCTTGCAATCTGCCCCGACCCAGAGTTTTAGAAAACGAATCAGATCATGGCACTTCTGCTTAAAACGATGCAAAACGGGGCCAGATCAGCTCTGGGGCTCTGGCCCCTACTGCCTGCCCTGGGAACTTGCTTATGAAGCTCATGTCCATAGCCCTCCGGCTGGGGTTTTACCTTGAGAAATGCTTCTCAAAGACAGGTCCTGTTGTACCACACTGCTGGGGTCTAGTTCTGGGAGATGCGCGTGGCCTTGAACATCAATGTGCAGAATCTGGGCCCTGGAAGTGAAATTTTTTGTTGACAGCTATTGGGGTGTAACGATTTATAGTAATGACCTCATATTCTCGATGGGGCAAGGG